GCGGCAGCAAAGCCTTGCCCGAGGACAGCGGGTTTGGGGTTAGGGTTTAGGGTTTGGGGTTTAGGGTTTAGGGTTTGGGGTTTGGGGTTTAGGGTTGAAGGTATATGAAAAAGGCTATTGTGATGTATCCTTTTCTTGGGGGGGGGGGGGGGTTGTTTGGGGGGGCGGGTTTTCAGGTTTGGGTGGTTCAGGGTTTGGGGGTTTTTTTGGGGGGCAAGGAATTGGAGTCTGCAGAGGGTTGGGAGTTTTTGGTCTTTAGGGGCTTCTGGGGCAAAGCTTGGGAGGATAGTTGGGGGTCGGTACCTGAACCTTTGCAGTGCACACACACACACACGATAGGTGAGATGAATGAGTCGGTTCAGGGTGAAGGGCTTTGGGGAGCCTTTTCTTCCTAACCTCAAAACTACTCTTACTTCGGTGACATTCTTGTCCGAAGCTTATGGCTTCTCGGGCCTGGGGCTTGAAAACTTGCCCGGGCGGACTTCGGGTTAGGGTTGTGTTCGAGCGTCTTTCGGGTTCCGAAAGACGGCATCAAACGCCCTGGCTGAGATTCAAAATCCCGAAGGCCCCAACTCCCCAAACTCCCAGGAGTTTCGCCATGAGCTGGGCCTGTCTAGCTACCTGGGCACCTGCTCGCTCGGCTGCGTTGCGCCCGCGGCTGCGGTTGAGGGGGGTCTTAGGGCGTTGAGGGTTTTGGGCATTGGGTGTAGACGGGGTCGCACAGGACCCCAAGCCGCCCTAAACCATATGTGGGTTGCACACGGCTGACATCAGAAAGCTGCAGATAAGGAATCTCGCCTGTGCCTCAACCCTTATCCCTGCCAACAAACATCGGGCTGGGCCCTTCGGCGGATTGGTTCACTTCGGGCTTGAAGCCTGGTTTCGCTGTAGGCCCTTGGGATTTGTTTCTCATATCTTCCCGCCTTGGGTGCGAGTTGATCTTAGTGTGGACTCGAAGCCTTGTTTCAGAGGGGTTCAAGGCCCAACCAGTGGCACGTTGAAGTGATGACCCAGACGCTGTGGTCCTCCGCCACAGCCCTGATTAAAATCGCCCCTAGGACTTCCCCCTGAACCCAAAGGTGCGAACACTGCACACGCCCAGCGGGTCGACGTGCGCGCTGAAGCGCATCAGCAAGCAACCCTGCCCTGTACGGATTCGGGCTTGGGGTTTCCGGCTAAGGTTTCAGGTTTGGGGTCGGAAATCTTGAACTCTTGAGCTCGGAACCCGAAACACATTTGAATGCCGCAAAGGCAGCTGCAAGATAGTTGCGGGAAGCATGCAGAAGGGCTCCGAAGGGCTGCGAAGGGCTGCGGGGCTGTAAGGTTCAAGGACGTAGAGTTCGCAGCTGGAACTTGTGCGCGGGGTTTCAACTGACTTGGCCCCTATAACTATAGCCTATAACACCCTGTTTTGGGACCTAAACCCTAAACCCTATTCTAAACCCTAAACCCTAAACACTATTATAAACCCTAAACCCTAAACACCCTAAACCCTATAAACCCTACATACCAGGAAGCTGCTGGTGGGCACAGAGTGGCGGGAGGATGTTGGAAGCCCAGCGTAGAGGGCGTGGCTTAGGGCGTGCAGGGGAGCTCCGAATGGGCTGTATATTGGGTAGGGTTCAGGGTTTAGGGCTTAGGGTTTAGGGCTTAAGGGGTTTGTGGGTTTTGGGGGTTTGGGGCTTGCGGTTGGGGGGTTTGGGGGTTTAGGGTTTGGGGGTTGGGGATTAATTTTAGAGGATCGTGTACTGGGTTTAGGGCTGAGGGCTCTCGTCAGCCTGGTATACTTCGCTCAGCATGAGCAGCTTCGTTCTGCGGCCTCAAGCCTGGTGGGCGCCCTAGATCACCCTAAACCCTAAACCCTAAGCCCTAAGCCCTAAACCCTAAACCCTAAACCCTAAACCCTAAACCCTAAACCCCCAAACACCCCATAAGCCCAAGCCCCTCAAGAGGGAACCCCAGGGGGTTTAGATGGTGTTCATGGGCCTGGGGCATAGGTTTTGGGCGCAAGCCCTAAACCTTGACCATGACCCTAAACCCTGAACCCAAAACCCCAAACTCCAAACCCAAAACCCTAGACCCTGGACCCTAAACCCCAAACCCTAAACCCTAACACCCTAAGCCGCCCAGGTTGCCAAGCTGCAGGAGCTGGAGCATCGCCACATCTGCCGCGTGCAGGACGCATTTGAGGCACCCCGCCCCGCTCCTTTCAGGGTTTTAGGGGTCTACCGGTTCACGGCTTTAGGGTTTTCGGGTTCTTATGGCTTTGGGGTTTTGGGCTCTTATGGCTTTAGGGTTTTAGGTTTTTTTTTTCTATAGGCTTTAGGGTTTTAGTTTTTTTGTTAAATGGTTTTCGGGTTTTAGGGTATCACTGGGCTACCAAGCTACTGTTTGCTTAAGATCCCCGCCGTGTTGGCTCACTGTCACGCGCCTGTCAGAGTGCTTGCCATTCGCTTGCTCCGGTGCTCTGTTCGGCACCATTTGGCATGGACAGACCTCAGGTTCCGCACAAGCACCCCAGCAACCGTCTTCTCCAAATCCTCAACCCTAAACCCCAAACCCTAAACCACCCTAAATTCTAAACCCTAAACCCTAAACCCTAAACCCTAAACCCTAAACCCTAAACCCTAAACCCTAAACGATGGAAGAAGTGGGTCTGGGATAGCTGGTCTGTGGCAGTGTGCCAAGACCCCAGGGCCCAGTGGGTCGAACTTTGTAGCCCTGGGACCCTGTTTACCTACAGTGTCGTAGCTGTTTTACCCTTAATTAGTAGGTATGGGTTTAGGATTTGGGGTTTAGGGTTTAGGGCTTAGGGCTTAGGGCTCAGGGTCACCACGATATAGGTAAAGAGGCCCCAGGTGACCCCACTCCTTCTGTGTACTGGATGGCTGGAGGGTTTTAAGGGTTTGGAGGGGGGGGGGGGGTGTGTGGGGGGCGGTGGAGCTCTGCTCCTCTGAAGCGCCTATACTACAACTCCCCTCCCATGTACTCTAGGGGCCTTAATAGTTAGCATAGGGTTTTGAGGGGTTAGAGCATAGGGTTTTGAGGGGTTAGAATTAGAAAGATATAGTATAACTTCAAAAGGGACCTTCAGGGGGATCTAAGTACCCTATGCCCTAAACCCTAAACCCTAAACCCTAAACCCTAAACCCCAGACCCTAAACCCTGTAAACGAACGGAAGCCTAAAACCCCAGCCGCACGCGCATCAGCCTCAACGACAGCCCAGGCCTCAAACCGTCTGAACCCTACTCCAACTCCCGCCCCCCCCCCCCTACCCCCCAAGAATTCAATACCCCCCCACCCTTCCTTTATACTGTACCGTATGAGGGGGTACGGATTACGCCCTATAAGCAGTAGCATCAAGCAACTTGTTCAGGATGCGACCAGCGTGTACTTGGTCCTTGGCCCCAGTTTGCTCGGAAGTCGCGCAGTTCAGGAGTCAGGGTTTACCCGTAACCCCAATTACCTACAGTTTTATGGTCATGCCGATTGCTTTGAGGGCTACTAAACTGCGGCTACAGGTAGGGTATACGATGGTATCGTTTAGGGTTTAGGGTTTAGGGTTTAGGGTTTTTAAGGGTTCAGGATGCAGGGTCCTTGTGCTCCTAAGGGCTGACGGGCTCGACGTGCTCGACGGTCTGAGGGGGTTCACCCTAACCCCCTAAACTAGGTTTGTGGCCGGTTTGGGGGTTTGGGGTTTAGGGTTTAGGGTTTCGGGTTTGGGGTTTGGAGTTAAATGTTTGTGGCCGGTTTGCAGGTGATGGAGCTCTGTCGAGGCAGCAACCTGAATGGCATCACCAGGAGCATGCGGAGCGCTCCGGTGGCAGAAGGTTAAAGGGGTTTAGGGTTTGGGGTTTAGGGTTTCGGGTTCAGAGTTTAGGGTTGAGGTCAACCCTCTGAGCCCCCTATCAACCCTGTTGACCCTGCTGACCCCATTATAGCCTTGGGAACAATAACTCAATTAGCCTTGTCAGCCCGGTTACTCCCTACTAACCCATGAGCCCGTGAAAAGTCCGAAGCCCTATACGCCCGAAACCCTACAAACACACACGTTGCAGCAGGGGGGTGATCGCCTCGCAGCCCTCGACTTCTCAACTTTTCTACACGCACCCGGCCTGCCCTGTCTGCACCCTCAGCCCTAAACCTTCAGAGCCCAAGCCCGAGAAGGCCCTGAAACTGCAAAGAAGCCTCAGGGTCCTCAACCCTACACCCACGCCACCCCCGCGCACGAAACCCCCCGCCCCACCACAGGCCCTTTAGGGTTTAGGGTCCAGGGTTTAGGGTTTAGGATGTTTAGGGTTTAGGGTTTCGGCTTTAGGGTTAGGCTCCCTAAACCCTCCAACCCTCAACCCGTGACCCAAGCGCAGCATGTGCCGAGACCGCCCCTTGAACGAAGCTCATGTGGCGGTCCTGGTGCTTCAGATGCTCCAGGCCTCGAACCCAGGATTTGGGGTTAGGGTTTAGGGTTTAGGGTTCAGGGTTCAGGGTTTAGGGTTTAGGGTTTCGGGCCTTGAACCCAGGGTCTTTTTTTGGGCTGGCTTATGAGGTTCGCGGGGGCTTTAGGAAACCCTTAGGGCTTAGGGGTTAGGGCCGAGCAGGGGCTTCTCGGTGAGTGGCCAACCTGCCCCAAAAAAGAGCCTGATGGGTCCCTATGAGTCTTCTCCTAGATCCGCTTGCTGGAGCCGCAGGTGCTCACCTTACTTAAGGCCCTAAGACCCTTCAAAGCCTTATGAGCCTTAAACTGGGATGTTCCCCCTTATACTAACAGTCCTTAAGAAGGGATTATGTGAAGATAGAGCTTCTTTGCGCTTCATACCCCTTGTCACCAGAGCCCTGCCACCGGTTGGGAGAGCTGAGATCGCTGCCGGCGGCGACGCTGGCTCAAGCGAGAGGAAAAGTGTCAAGGCCCGCACCAGTGCTAAATTTGCACTGGTAGCGGAGCAGCTACCTTTCATAATCCTTGGGACCTTTGGGACCTAGTGTGCCCAGTACTGAAGCCATGGCTGCATCGGTGCTGGAGATGTTGAAAGCCTCCAACTTTGCGAGTGTGGAGGACGGAGACAATGTGACGGAAGGCAAGTTCGGCATTCCCCGCTACAACGGCGACCCCACCAGGTATCAGGAGTACGTCTTCCGGGTCAGGGCTCGAATACGCAAAGAGAAGAAGATTGACGAAAAGGAAGTGGCAAAGCTGGGTCCCTTGGGACTTCGCTTGCTTGAAGGCCTGACTGGGACGGCGTTCCGCGCCGCACAGATGCTGGACATAGAGAAGCTGGAGAGTGCTGAGGGGCCTGAGATCCTCCTCCAGGAGCTGGCCACCACCCTTCAGCCGAAGCGAGAACAGCAAGCGCGCGAGCTCTATGAGGCTGGTGCAATGGTGGGTGGAATGATGAGTCGTCAGCATGGCGAGGGCATGGCGCAGTTCGTGATGCGTCGGAGAGCCTGGTATCGGGCCCTGCTCGACTCATCGAGCGACATGAAACTCCCGGAAGTGGTCTTGGCCGAGCAACTCCTACAGAACGCCAGGATCACTGATGATCAACGACTCATGGTTCGCACTGCCCTCCAAGGGAAGCTAACTTTCGACTCGGTGGCCCAAGAGTTGGTGAACCAACATCCTCGACTACATGAACGTGAACGTTTTCCTTACAAAGGAAAGAAAGGTTTTGGAAAGCACCACGGACGACCGAAGGGATACTTCCACGCCTCGCACGCCTACTGGACGGAGCAGAACGACCAGGACTACTTCTACGATGACGAGTACGCAATGGGCTACCTGGCCGAAGAGTATGCGGAGGACGGCTACGTGGAGGAGAACTACATGGCCGACTACGAAGAGCCGGACGAGTTGGACTTCCAAGCGGACGCCCTGGCTTACATGGCAGAGCAAGGGCTGAGCCTGGAGGACTACGACTCTGCTGAGTATGCGGCCGAGATGATCCAGATTGATGCCGAAGGGTACTTTGCTGGAAAAGGCGGAAAGGCGAAAGGGCTTCCTCGTCTACGAGACCATCGCTTTGAGCTCTCTGGCCACCTCAGGCTGGAAGAGAAGAGACAACGCCTTCAGGAGCTGAAGAATCGGACGACCTGCCGACGCTGTGGGGCGACTGGACACTGGAGCTCAGACAGTGTCTGTCCTAAGAACCGCGGCAAGAGCAAGAGCAAAGGAAAGTTCACCGGATCTGCCCCTACGGCACCCTCATCCTCTTCGACTTCTACCACCACGACAACCCCGAAGGGATCTGGGCGAAATAAGGGGAGCGGCAAGCGGCCGGTCTACTTTGCCATCGCTGAGGACGTTCAACCAGAGCCTGCCGCAATGCTCGCTTTACGACGTGAACCTGGCCGAGACAACCAACCTGTCGGTCAACTTCCTCTTCAGCATCATGGTCACGGTGGACAAGCTGCTTCTCAGGGATGGCTACTTGGACCACCGCCTGTACCCCATCGACATCATGCAGAACAGGGACATGGACACGGGGAAGCAACATCCCAGCCGTCTACGTCGCAATGGAGCATTGTCCAGGCTGAGCAGAGACCTCTGTGGCTGGATGGAAGTCCGGTTGGAGGCGACGGTGATGCCGATGTCGAGATGGATCGACTTCTACGTGAACATGAGCGTGAACATGGGCGGCAAGCGCGAGATGAGAGCTCACGAGTGCAGGAACCTCCAATGCCCCAGACATCACCTTCGACGTCTGCTGCACCACAGCCATCTGTTGCCCCGACGACTGCACGCCCTTCCTGTGCCCACACAGAGACGACTTCCGTCGGCTCGAACCAGTATCAGCGTGTCGTGCGTTGCAAGCGATGTGGCTTGGTGTTGTCCCGCACGAAGAAGGATGTCGGACAGGGAGAGACCACTTCTTCGACTACAGCAGCCGCGACACAGCCACGATGTTCCCATCACAACATTTCGTGGCGTGGATCCAATGGGAGCCGCTGGAAAAGCACTTGTCTGGATTGCGGACACCAAGAATCCGGAGATCGCGAGACACCAGCTGGACATGGGACAGAACCTCATCGTGATTCGCAGACAGTGGTCGAGGAGGAGAGCTACTACCTCGACAGAGAGACCGCGCTCCAGATCCTTCAGGACTTCCCACAATGTTGCGTCTGCTAGGGTCAGAGGACTTGAAGAAGGGCAACAGGTTCCGAGTAGCAGCTTTATGCGAGCTCTTCGACATGTCATTGCACTACATGCATGCTGGAGCGACCGAGGTGCGTCCTCTGCAACGGCGAGCACGATGGTGGCACAGGCTGCTGCCTCGACTACGACCACGCCGCAACATGATCGCCGGAGACGTATTGCCATTGAAGGCGCCAAGGTCATCCCCTGCGGTAAGTACAAGGGCAAGACTCGAGAGTGCGCTTATCAGGATGCCGGGTATCGCCGCTGGGTGCTTGAACAAGATCACCCCAGAATCCCCTCCTGACATGAATGCCCTACGTGCTTACTTTGAAGAGCGCTTGGACGCTGATCCCGGCCTGTTTCCTCAAGCGTACGTGGTCCTTTCGCAGGAACCTACCGGAGGAGAAGGAGACCTCATCGCCATTTTGGATACAGGATGCTCGCAGTCCTGTCACGGTGAGCTGTGGCTGCAACGATATGCGCAAGCCACCGGCCAATGCTTGCCAGCACTCGAGACCGATGTGGGCCCTTCCTTCCATGGCATTGGAGGGGCAGTGCAAACGGCCGGCGTGCGAACAATTCCGTTGGTGCTGGAGATGATCAATGGACAGTATGCCCAAGGCACCTTGCGCTCAGCAGAACTCCGAGGAAGTCATGCGCCACTGCTGCTCTCACTGGCAGCCCAACGACATCTTGGTCTTGTCTTGGATGTCTGTGCCGAGACAGCCCACAGTCAAACTCTTGGGTGCGATCTTCAATTGGTCATGAAGGACGGGCTGTTTGGACTTCGCCTCCTACCTGCTCATCTTGGACTTCTGGCCGAGAATCCCGCACTGGAGGAGACGAGCGTAGAGAACATCACTAAGAATGAGACCGAGTTCCTCGCGACGGATGTGAAGATGGACGAAAGACCACGCGATGATGCATTGCAGCATCCTACCGACGATGCACTGCATCGACCACGCGATGATGCATTGCATCATCCTACCAATGATGCACTGCATCCTCCTACGATGAGCTGCGATGAGAGGGAGCCTGATGAGGATGAGTCAGCCGCTGTTGGGTACATGGCGTATGACCACATGAAGGGACGGACCATGACGCGATCGCAGGGGAACTCCTGGAAGAAGCACGTGCATGACATGCACAACTCTGACCAGTGCCTGTGGAGTCAGATTTCCACTCAGAGGAGAAGACGGTCGCTGTTGCCACGCGGATGTCGTACATTCCTCTTGGAGATCTTTGCGGGAGCGGCCTTGCTGAGTGATATCTGCGCGCGTGAATATGGTCACCCTATCAGTGCTCCTGTGGACCTCAATGTCGGCATCGACTTGCTCACACCGGAAGGGCGAGCGCACGTGGACTCCGTGATCGAGAGAGACGACCCCTATGCCATTAGCATTGCGCCACTTTGCTCTCCTTGGTGCGCTTACTCAAAGCTCAACATATCCAAAGGGGGACGAACCTGCAAGCGCATCCAAGATGAACGCAAGCGATGGCGACCAGTTCTCTCGTGGATCGCGAAGATGGTCAAGCAACGCCTAAGCCGTGGTCGCCAGATTCTGGTTGAGAATCCCTGGGGAAGTGCTATGTGGGATGAGTGGGACTTTCAGGACTTGATCGTCAATGACCACCACGATGCTCTCACTGGAGAACTACTGGAAGCCACAAAATGTGATCAATGCATGCAAGGACTGCGTTCCACGACTTCTGGACTTCCCCACATGAAGCCCACTTGCTTCCTCAGTGCCTCCACAACCTTGAAGCACACCCTGGATGTACGCTGCGACGGTCAACATGAACATGAGCAACTCACCTCAGGGAAGGCGTGCAAGGAAGCGCAACAATGGCCAAGAAAACTGTGCCACACTATCCTTGATGGATGGTGCAAGGACTTGGACAACACGCTGTGTCGGTCTGCGTTCCCTGCAGAAGCGGCACGGGAAGATGCCGACCAAGCCGAGTTTGTGATTGACGATGATGAGGATGGCATGCACCGTACGTTGGACCACATCTACGGCCCTGAAGATGAGGCGGCGATCACCGCTGGACCACTAGGACGATCTGAAGCTGCTGAAGTTGCTGCGCGAGAAGGAGAAGCAATTCATGAGGAAACAGAAAGCTTGGAGTCCGAGTCCATGCGGGAGAGAAGAAAGAAATGGAGAGAGCTTCCCTACGCGATGCGTGTCGCTTTGAGGAGGCTCCATGGCATGACTGGACACGCATCTCCGGCATCTATGCAACGACTTCTTCGTACTGCTGGTGCGGATGCCGCCGCGATCCGCGCAATGCAGTACTTTCAGTGTCCTGTTTGCGACAGTCTGAAAAGGCCTATGCAAAGACCCGCCACCAAGGTGCCTGGACCTTACGTCTTCAACGTGGAGGTAAGCGTGGATGTCTTTGTGATCCGCGATGTGGAGGGGAACAAATTCTTGATCCTTTCCATTGTTGACCTCGGCACGCTCTTTCACGTTGGCGTCGTGGTTGGAACTGGAGCTGGAAGCCCATCCTCTTCAAATTGCGCAAAGGCTTTTGACACCGCCTGGATGTCCTGGGCAGGCGCTCCTGACCGGGTTGTTCTGGACAGGGGGACGCACAACCGCGGGGTCTTCCAGGAGATGCTGAGATCCCGAGGAGTGGAACTTCGATATACCGGCCTGGAGGCCGGCCATCATCTAGGACGTGGAGAACGGCAAGGTGGGCTGATGAAGTCGATGTTGAAACACATCATTCATGAACGGCAACTCCGAGGACGACAGTCTATTGAGTTCGTGGTGTCAGAAACGGCTGAGGTCAAGAACTCCAGACTGCATGTTGGAGGTTTTGCTCCGGCTCAATGGCTGCTTGGACGACTACCAAAGGACTTGGACAGCCTCACAACCCTCGGAGCAGAACATCGGCTTGGAACTCACCAGGAGATCTTGGATGGGACTTCGTCGTTTGCACACCGTATGGAGATCCGGATGGCAGCGAAGCAAGCATTTACGTTCCACGATTCGGCTCAACGTCTTCGCGCATCTATGCTTCGAAAGGCCACGCCCACACGTGGACCCTTCGTGACTGGAGACCTCGTCTGCTTCCACCGCAAGCAAGGAGCAAGAGTTGGACAGCGCTGGTTTGGGCCTGCTCGTGTAGTCGGTCAAGAAGGGCGATCCAAGCTATGGGTGATCCATGGAGGAATACCCATGACCGTGGCCGTGGAAGCATGTCGACACGCTAGTGGACCTGAGATACTGGCGAAGCGGGAGTTGGAACTGCGCCCAAGCAGGAAGAGACGCCGTGAAGTTATCGAAGATGATGACGAGACCTATGAGTACCCTTTTGGCGATGACTTGGCCGGTGTCCCAGGACGTCATGAAGATGGAGAAGGCCTTGGAGAAGATGAACAAATGCGCTATTTTGACACCACGGACATTGCCGACGGGGGACTCTCATCCAGTCCCTATTCACCATCACCTGCAGGAGAAGCTGCCGCAGGACTATTCCTTCTCCGCTATCACCAGCTGACGAAGGACCTGGCGTTGCGGACCTGCCACCGATCCCTGAGGACTTACTTGAGACCGATGAGGGAGAGAGGACGCCTACGCCCACAGTTGGTTCGACCTTCGAGCCTGAACAAGAACAAATTCCTGTGAGCAGACAAGGAACAAGTGAAGTGATGTCCCCTACACCGCTTCCACCAGGACTTCACGGAAATCTCAGAGCAGCTCTTCATAGGTCGCCAGATCTGCTCGATGGACATCGTGCTGCTGAACCACGTAATGAGCCATCGACAACTCGCAGAGATCGCTCGAGATCCCCACCTACTCGGTCATCCTCTGCGGTGATCCCGAACCAAAGCACGTTGGTTGAGCTTCCTCGAGCCCCTGGGCAAGATCGGGCGTTTCTGGCGTTCCTTGCTCGCCGGAAGACCGCCATGGCACGAAGCAAAGAATACAGTTTGGACAAAATGGAGGCCGAAGAGCGTGTGAAAATGGAAGCTGCTCAAGAGAAGGAATGGGGCAACTGGCGAAACTTTGAGGCTGTCAAGGTGCTGGATCCGACGAAGGCTGCAGAGTTTCTTCGAGAACATCCTGGAACACAGATTGTCCCGACCAGATGGGTGCTGACAAACAAGGCTCAGCCCTGGGAAGATGCCCGCTACAAGGCTCGCATTGTGGTGCGGGGTGACCTGGAGCGGGGCGCTGCTGAGACTCGTACAGATTCACCGACGGCATCCTCGACAATGGTCAACATGTTGCTAGCTTATGCGGCCAGCAACAAGCTTCCTTTGAGAGGAGGAGACATCACCGCTTCCTTCTTGCAAGGCGAGAGCTCATCCTGAAACCACCTCCTGGCGGCCTACCAGGAGTGGAAGATGGCAGTCTGCTTTTGGCTGAGAAGCCAGTCTACGGAACGCGTGACGCCCCTCGAGGTTTCTGGAAACGCTTGCACTCCGTGATCCTCTCGAAGGGCCTAAGGAAGATCCCTGGCGAGAACTCCGCGTATGTGCTCAATGACTCGAACAATAACATCATCGGGATGCTCATCTGCCACGTCGATGACCTCCTATGGGCCGGAGGAGAACGTATGGATGAGGTGATGAACCAGATACAGTTGGCCTTCGAGTTCGGGTCATTGGAACTCGACAACAGCTTCGTCTACTGTGGACGCAACATTGAGCAGAGCACTGAAGGCATCAAGGTGACCTGCCCCAACACTGCAGCAAAGGTGAGGCCCATTGTGCTAACCAGAGAAAGACGTCGTGAACGTGATGCCGCAGCCACCGACAACGAGAAGGGGCAACTCAGGAGTGTCTTGGGGAGTCTAGGCTGGGTGACACGTGTGTGTCGTCCAGATATTGGCTACCAGGTCAACCATCTCCAGAGCATCCAAAAGAATGTCGTCGTGAGCGACCTGATTGCCTGCAACAACCTTCTGAACTACGTCAAGGAGACTCCTCAGCATGGCCTCTTCTACCGCTACAACGCGGTTGACTTCAATGAGGCCGCCATCCTCTCCATCACCGACGCTTCCTATGGTGCAGACTATGATGTGGACGAGCACTATGGTGTGCCTCTCGGGAATCGTTCCCAGTCCGGAAGGATCCTAGCTCTTGGAAACAATGACTTCGCTTCGACCGGAACAGGCGACATCTACATGATCGAATGGCACAGCAATGTGCTGAAGAGAGTGTGCCGCAGCACACTACAGGCTGAAACCCTTAGCCTCGTTCAGGGCTATGAGGAGGCTGAACATGTTCGGGTGCTGATGCATGGGCTCTACCACGAGAAGACGGGCTCTACCAACGACTTCATGATCGGCGCGATGGATGGACGACGCTTGGAGATGTTCACCGATTGCAGAAGCTTAGAAAGCCACCTGAAGCAGCCGGGACTTTCCACGGTTGCCGATAAGCGCCTGGCTATTGACCTCAGTGCCATGCGCCAGCTGGTGTGGCGAGACTCTGGAGAGCTAGTTGGAGATCCTGTTTACCAAGATGCTCCTCCGCAAGCTTCCACAACCCGCGTGAGCTGGATAGAGACCAAGACGATGGTTGCCGACAGTCTGACCAAGCACATGAAGTGTGAGCAGCTCTTGGCCTTGATGCACGAAGGCAAGGTCACTTTCGACATGAACAAAGAACATTCGAAGAAGGCATCAATGAAGCAAGACAAGCAAGATCGTCAAGCATCAATGAGTGGCTGACGTAGCGATGTGAAACCTTATGCGAGCTCTTGCCATGCTAGCTCACGGTTTCCTGCGAAGAAAGCTCTTGGGTGTGAAGATAGAGCTTCTTTGCGCTTCATACCCCTTGTCACCAGAGCCCTGCCACCGGTTGGGAGAGCTGAGATCGCTGCCGGCGGCGACGCTGGCTCAAGCGAGAGGAAAAGTGTCAAGGCCCGCACCAGTGCTAAATTTGCAGATTATAATACAAGGTGCTATAATCCCTATGAAGGACTGCTAGTCTAAGTTCCAAGCCTTAAATGCCATCTCAACTACAAGGCCGTCTGCCACCTCCACAATGCGGGGTATGTGCACAGCGACATCTGCCCCGAGCCGGGTTGCACAGCCCCAGTTCCTCAGGGCCTTAGGGTTTCGAGCGTGGGGTTTAGGGTTTAGGGTTTAGGGTTTAAACAAGTAGGGAGCTGAGGGAGGCGGTGTGAGGCATGCGGGCTCAGTTATCCACGTTCTTGCACATGGCCCGTGCTAGGCGCAGGTAGGAGGGCGCTGTGGCGTTTTCCAGGCATGGACGTGTCTGAAGCTGCCCGTTGCACTTAAGACTTGTAGTGCTTGGTAGCTTCGCTCGAGTCTTGCTGCGTTGCTTCTGTCAAGTGGGCTTCGCAATCTTCAAGTTGTCCCACTCTTATGGCATTGTATTTTAGCAAAGCACGCCCCATAAACCATAAACCCGGAAGCCTAAATCCCAAGTCCAAAACCCCTCACCCCCCCCCTCCCCACAGCCAGACAAAGCAAAACAAGGAACTGGCTCTTCGAAGAGCCACTCGATGGCCTCGGCACATTTGCAAATTCGCGGCTTTGCTTGCATTGCTTGCACAGCAGTGTTTCGGGGTTGGGGTTTAGGGTTTAGGGTCGGGACTTGGGGTTTAATTAGGGTTTGGAGGGTTTTGGATGACCCGCCCTACAAGCCAGAATGCGAGCGCTTTCCCACGAACCTTCCTAAACCCTGGGCCCTAGGCCCTACAAGCCCTCTTTTGATTGATGCACCTTCAACCCGGCATGCTGAATCACCTGAAGCCCTAAAACCCATCCTAAAACCCCCACAGCTTAAACCCACAGCAAACCTTGAATCTTGCACGGATCTTCCCGATGAGCCACTCGATGCATGGAAAACTGATTCCCCTCCCCCGCCCAAGACCGTAAACCAACCACCCGTGGCACTGAGCCCAAAACTAAGAAACCCGGAGCACTGGATGCTTTTAACGTCCTGCGGGCCGCATGCCCCCGAGCAGCTTTGAGCCCGGCCCTAAACCCCAAACGTGCAGAAGGTCTCTGAAGATGATCGACTTCGGCTGGGAATCCCGGGGGAGCAGTTTGCCGTGGTTCCATTTGGGGAGTTTCACAAGGTTATCGGGGCTTCTTGCGTTTTGGTGGTGGTGGTGGTGGTGGTGGTGGTGGTGGTGGTGGTGGTGGTGGTGGTGGTGGGTCTGCCAGATTCGGGGGGCTCCAACCTGCAAGGAACCCTGATCCGTATTCATTTATATCGTACTGTTTCTTGGAGATTCTAGTGTACGTATAGTACATTTCATATGTTATCTTATATATTTATGCTTATTTACTTTTTACAGTATAGAGTATATCGTGTGTAGTGTATAGCGTATCCTGTATAGAATATATATATATATATACATATACATATGTATGTACATATATATATATACATATATATATATATATATATTTATATGTATGTGTGTGTATATACACTTTATATCATAGCTAGGGTTCCAGACAGAGACAAGCCCCACTAAGCTCCAAACCCTCAACCCTCAACCCTCAACCCTCAACCCTCAACCCTAAACCCTAAATCCAAAACCCAAAACCCTAAACCCTAAACCCTACACCCTAAACCCTACACCCTACACCCTAAACCCTACGCCCTAAACCCCTAGGGTTTAGGGTTTAGGGTTTAGGGTTTGGGGTTTGAAGTTTAGGGCTCCCGAGGCCTGGCCAAGAAGCACTCCCGGGAGCCGGTTCGAAAGCCGCAGCGGTACAGCAACTTCAGCATGACAGGACGGGGGCCTTCTTATCCTAAACCCTAAACCCTAAACCCCAAACCCTAAACCCTAAACCCTAAACCCTGAACCCTGAACCCTAAACGCAGGCTCCTGGGCCTCTGATCGCCGCTCCTCGCACGGGACCAGCCCGGGACGATCTTTGGCCGATCAGGGGGTTTTGGGGTTTGGTGGTCTTGGGGTTTCGGGGTCTTGGGGTTTAGGGTTTTTGGGGTTTAGGGGCTTAGGGTTGAGGGTTTAGGGTTTGGGGGTTAGGGTTTGGGGGTTTTGGGTTCAGGGTTGTTGGGGTGTAGGGGGTTTAGGTTTTGGGGGTTTTCGATGTTTAGGCATGCTGAGCGATGGTCAGAGATGTTGGGGGTTAATTAGTGGTTCAAGAACATCATGCCTAGGGACTTTGCTCAGAGGTTCAAAGGGTCAGCTTAGGGAAGGGCTCCTCAGGAATTTGCGATCTAGGGCTTGAGGATTACGAGGAAGAGGGTTGAGTTTTCAGGGTTTCGGGTTTCGAGTTGGGGAGGGCGGGGGGTTGGGCGCCTGGATCCCGGCAAGCCAAGCCCTAGTATGAACCTCCTAAAGCCCTAAACCCTCAAACCCTGAACCCCAAACCCTAGACCCTAAACCCTCAACGCTAAACCCTAACCCTCACAGACCTCGCAAGCCCCCGACCAGGCCGAAAAAGTGTCCTGTCTATGGGAGACCGCTCCACCCGGTCAACCCAGAGCCAGGCGTGGTGGGGGGAGGGGGGTTGGAGGGGCCTGGGGTTTAGGGTGTAGGGATCCTTAACTTAGTAGCTGGGTGAGCACAGGATACACTTCAACTTTTTGGGATGCTAACTCCCCTATAGAATTGAAAGTGCGCACTTTTATTTGGGGCTTATGAACTCAGCAACCAAGAAAAAAAAACAAACAAACAAACAACGAGATTCAGGGGCCGAGGCCTCCTTGTTCCATGCAGCTCGACAGAGGGCTGGTAGGGCTGGCTGTTTGGCTCCAATCCCACAGCCCAATTCAAAACCAGTCATTTCAACACCAGCCCTTAAACCTCTAAACCCCTAAACCCCAAACCCCAAACCCTTATATCTCTACATTTAAATAGTCTAGAATATATGTAATATATATATATATATGTAAAAATGTATAAATGTGTATATATATATATGTATACATATATATATATATATATGTATGCTCAAGAAAATCTTCCAATCCCAAGCTGCCCGAGAGCCCCAAAGCCGTTAGAGGGCTGACGTCCGCAGGAAGAGCGGCCCTGTCCTCTGTTCTGCCAGGCCCAGCCTCTTGTTGGGAAGGGTGTAGGGTTTAGGGTTTAGGGTTTAGGGTTTAGGGGCTCAGGGGTGTATACGGCTTTAGGATGTAGGGGTTCAGGCCTTTAGCGCTTCATCGCTTTGGGGGTTGCTTTAGTGGGTTTAGGTCTTCAGGGATTTAGGGCTTCAGGGCTTTAGGGCTTTAGGGGTTTGGAGTTTTTGCTTGTAGGGATGACAGGTTGGGGATTGGTGGCTTAGGGCCCCCCCAACCCTTAACCCTCAGGAATCCACACTCCGAGGGAACCCACCACGGAGTATGTTCAGGGTTTAGGGTTGAGGGTTTAGGGTTCAGGGCAACAGGGACCTTGAACTGCAAGCAGCCCTAAACCCTAACCCCGAAACCCTAAACCCTAACCCCGAAACCCTAAACCCTAAAGTGCCTTGAGGCACCCGAGCAGCTGGAGCCCGGCTATGTCGCCCAGCGAAGCTGCGACGTGTGGGCGTTGGGTCGTGCAGCCCAGCGGGGGGTGGGGGTTTAGGAGTTGGGGTTTAGGGTTTAGGGTTTAGGGTTTAGGGTTTAGGGTTTAGGGTTTAGGGCTTGGGGTTTAGGGTTTAGGAGTTGGGGTTAAGGAGATTGGGGTTTAGGGTTCAGGGTTTAGGGGTTGAGGGTTTCGGGGAAGGTTTTTGTTTTTCGAAAGGGTGTGCCCAAAAACGCACCAAGATGTGAGCTTCACCCTACCATTGGCCCCAGCCTGCGAGCACCCTTATCGACTATTTGCTTCATGATGGGTTCCCCCCCCCCCAGGTTCCCCCCAAAAAGAAGGCTATTTTCTACATGAATTGAGGTTATTTAATAAGGGGACGTAACAGGGGGGATGGGCAGTATAGAGGGGGGTAGTAGTAGGCAAACCCATGACTTAAGAACCCTCCAAAAAATATAAAGATGCTTCCTTTAAAGGGTACTATCGGGATTGTTTTTTTGTTGGGGGAGGGGGGCTTCTTTCAGCAAGCAGCAGTCGTAAACTTACCCAAAACCCGCAACCCCCGCAAAACCGCCCGCGCAGGTGTGATCGCGTACTTTTTGCTCTCAGGGGCTTCCCCCTTCGAGCCCTCCAAAGGCCGGGTTTGGGAGAAGAGGTTTAGGGTTCAGGGTTCAGGGTTCAGGGTTCAGAGTTCAGGGTTTAGGGTTTAGGGTTCAGGGTTTGGGGTTCAGCGTTTAGGGTTCAGGGTCTAGGGTTTCGGAAAGAAGTACGGTGGAGCGGCTTTTGGGTTTGGAGTTTAGGGTTTAGGGTTTCTCTTCTGTTGGGAGCGGAAGCCCCCCCCTGTGACTTCGTGTGTGCTGAGGGCTTGTGCTTCAGCGGATGCCCCTGGCGTTTTCAAGAGGAGGTTGAGCTAAATCTCCTATCCGCCCGAAGCCCCTAAACCTGAAACCCTAGGCCCTAAGCCCTAAACCCTAAACCCTAACCCCTAAACCCTAAACCCCTAAACCCTAAACCTAAGAAAGATGTTATACGGATTCGAACAGAATCCCAAAGAGGGACTGTGCTTCAGATCACCCACCGAGTTCTGCTTAATTTGGCTGCGCGCGAGGGCTCTACAGGCTGGAGAACCTAAACCCTAAACCCTAAACCCTAAACCCTAAACCCTAAACCCTAAACCCTAAACCCTAAACCCTAAACCCTAAACCCTAAACCCTAAACCCTGTAGCTCAACCCGGGGTTGACATCGAAATTCAGGCCCTGTTTGTGCATCCGGTCTAAGTTCTACCTGTAGGGATTGGGTTTAGGGATTAGGTTTTGGTTTTGGGTTTTGGGTTTTGGGTTTTTTGGTTTTGGGTTTTGGGTTTGGGGTTTGGGGATTGGGTTTGGGTTTTGAGTTTAGGGTTTAGGTTTTGACAAAGGCCCGTAAATTTAGATCAACCCTCCCCCCCAGCAAAAATCTGCAAGTGCACCGCCGGCGTAACGAGGAGTGACCGACCCCTCCAACAACCTCGCTTTCAGAAATGCGCGCCCACAGCTCGGTTGGCCAGGGGGGATTCGGGGTTTAGGGGTTTAGGGGCTTAGGGGCTTAGGACCTTAGGGTTTAGGGGTTTAGGGTTTAGGGTTTAGGGTTGAGGGCAGTTGAGCCCGCGAAATCCGAAAGGGGCGCTCGGACACTCAAGCTCACTGAGCCCCGAAGGCCTAAGCTCACTTTTTCGTGGTTTAGGGTTTAGGGTTTAGGGCTTAGGGTTCAGGGTTCTGTTCGGCCACTCAAATTCAGCCCGCAGGTTGAGGGTTGGGGGGAGGGGGGGGGGGGCTCAAACCCTCGTAGGAGCTGAGGCGAGGACTGATTGCAATACATGGGAGGCAGTTCTCCAAGTCGGGTCGTTCTTTGGGGTTTAGGGTTCGGGGTTTAGCGTTTAGGGTTTAGGGTAATCCACATGCCGGTTGAGGGATTGGGTGCCACTCCGGCCTTCCGACACGTCTCGCGGCAGCTAGGGTTTACGTTTGTGCCCCTGCGCAAAAAGCTTTCTGCCCCCCCCCCCCCCCCAAGCAATGCCAACAATTAGGGTATCCCGATGACCAACCCCCCCCTCCCCCCACCCCATTTGAGGGTTACTTGCTTATTTGGGTAGGGGGTTCTGTAGTTAGTGGTCAGGTGGGGGACGTGCAGGATCCAAGAGGGCGGGGGGGGGGGGGGGGTTTAGGGTTTAGGGTTTAGGATTTAGGGTTTAGGGCTCAGGGCATGTTGGACTTGGGGGAGGGCCCAGCGTGGCACATGGTGGTGGCCAGCGATCCCGCTGAACCCCGAAGGTTCGGTGGCTTGAACCCACGCAAAAGCCCGAACTGATCCCAAACTCTTCCCCAACATGACCCTTGAGGTTTAAGGTTCAAGATTTAGGGTTTAAAAGTTTAGGGTTCAGGGTTTTAGGGTTTAGGGTTTTAGGGTTTTAGGGTTTCGAGTTCTGAGCAAATGTCAAAAGAACCCTGAGCCCTGAGGCTATGTTTTCATGCCGACGGAGGCGCCGACGGGACGTGACACTAAGCTTTGGGGCGCCAGGTTCAAGGTTTAGGGTTTAGGGTTTAGGGTTTAGGGTTTAGGGTTTAGGGTTTAGGGTTTAGGGTTTAGGGTTTAGGGTTTGGGGTGGGGAGGACGGCCGGGGCCTCCAAAGACCCTCCCGGCGCGGCTCCCGGAGGCCTCGAAAACATTGGCCGCGCCCTGCACCCTAAACCCTGAACCCTAAACCCTAAACCCTAGACCCTAAACCCTAAACCCTAAACCCTAAACCCTAAACCCTGAGTGCGTGCTGGACGCGGCGCCCTGCGCACCCTGGACGCCCGGACGCGTGCGCCTTTAAATGGCCCTGCTCCGCAGCCTCGGGGCTGGCGCTATAGACTTTACAAGGTTGAGGGTTTTGGGTTTTTAATAGGGTTTTAGGGTTTGTAGGGTTTATATAGGGTTTATAGGGTTTGTAGGGTTTAGGGTTTAGATAGGGCTTTTAGGGTTTGTAGGGTTTATATAGGGTTTGTAGGGTTTGTAGGGTTGATAGGGTTTATGGGGTTTATAGGGTTTATAGGGTTAATAGGTTTTATAGGATTCAGGGTTTAGGGGTTAGGGCCCCAAGCAGCCCGGCAGGTCTGGCGTAACGTGAGCCGCGAGGCGAAGAGCTTTATCGCCCTTTGCCTGGAGCTGGCGCCTGGCCCCTCAGAGCCTTAAGGGTGGTCTGGGATGTTTAGGGTTTGGGATGTTTAGGGTTTAGGATGTTTAGGGTTTAGGATGTGTTGGGAGGTTTGCGGGGTTTAGGGTTTGAGGGGGTGGTTTGCGTGCTCCTGGCACACCCTTGCATGAGCGCTTCGCACAGCATTTGGCTCTGGGAGAAGTGGGTCGCATCCACAGGTAACGCCACGCACTGGCGGATTGAGCAGCAGCTTGTGCATCGTCTTCCTGATGATCCGAGAGTTTCAGCTGAGATACGCAACTTTTTGACCTTTGCCGGTATTTTCGGGGTCTTTTACAAGAAGGAGGTAGGGCCGGTAGGGGGGGGGTTGAGCCCAACAACTGCGAGGTGTGCGCTCTGTTCTTGGTCTCGGCCGTGTCCTCCGAGAGCGTCGGGGAGGCGGGCTACTCGGGGCAAGAAGACGTCGGCCTCCTACAGCAGCAGGTCGCTGCTGAGAAGTGGAGGAGAAAGCCCTGGGCACAACCGAAGAGATGGCAATGGGGGACCGCCCCGAAGATGGGTGCGAAGCCCAAAGTTCCCGCAGAGGACAAGGCCGAACCAGAGGAGTGGGAGTGGAACCAAAAGGTGGCCGCAAAAAGCAAGAAAGTTCAGAACAAGTGTGCCGGCTGCATGACCTACAACAGCTTCGATCCGATGAGCAAGTGGTGCGACACATCGCGAGGCTGCCGAAAGAAGAAAGAGGTGGCCTCGTAGCAGAGTAGGCCAGCTTGAACAGTTTCGGGCATTGTATTCCCCTTTTGATCCCCAAAGGTTAGTCTGTGCTTACCCCACGAGATACTGGAGAGCTGAGGTAGGGAAGACATGCAAGGAAGACTATGAGTGTCTTTCGCACATATGTTCCGAGACTTGCCAGTCACAATGCGGGCCGGATGCGCCCTGGTGTTGGTACGAGAAGTTGGGCAACGAGTACAAGGGCATCTGCAAAAACTGCATGATGTACCAGTTCTACAACGCAGATGCCAAGTGGTGCGACAAGACAAGTGGCTGCCAGTCGAAGAAGAGCGACACCTGGTCTTGACTGGTCACTTTTGTCGCATGAGAAATTCTCGGGCACAGCCCACTAGACCCCAAACCCTAAATTCCTAACCCCCCAAATCCTAAACCCTACACCCCCAAACGAAATGGCTTCACACTAAGCTGCGAACTCTCAGCGCCTTGACCGAGGCAGGGGACGACTGCACCGAAGACTATGAGTGCGTCTCAGGTTTCTGTCAGGACTCCCATTGTTTCGACTACGTCCCTCACGTTATCACGCAAGACCAGATGGAAGAGATGGATGATGAGATGGGGGACGAGCCACCCCCAGAGGAAGGGGAGGAATTTGAGGAGGAAGACGAGGAACCCCGCTAACGAATGAGTAACTCAGCGGCTTTTGCGGAAGCACCGGTCCACCCAACGAGGAGGACCTCATGCTCCGATCTTGCAGTATGTGCATGGGTTTCAAGCCAAGAGTCGGAGGCTGACTACTCAGGACAGGCCTAATTATGAATTCATAAACTTGTCCAAGCACCGAACTACGCAAAGCACCTGAATAGTCAGGCTCATTTAGTACTGTTTGCGTGCGCGCTCCCTCGGAGAAGAACCTGCAAAGACTAGCGCCGCCCCTTGCATCGAGGAAGGCCACATCCAATTCCACCCTGAATTACCACATGCGCTCAGCTGCTCCAAAAACCCTAAACCCTGAGGCCAAGCGCGAGACCGCCAGCGAAGACCCTGCGGCGAGCTCAGACTCTCCGATGCTCTGATAGACCTAGAGGGTTCTCTCCTATCGCTCCACCCCCGGACTCCGAATCTTATGATCTTCTAGAGCCCCAAAAGCCCCAACTCCATGCGGCCTCGTAAACTCGTAAAGGGGCCTTGCCAGAAACGCTTCATGAAGCCAGCGCCCCCGGCCTCGGTACCGAGAAGTCGGGGATGTGTGCTTGCTGGGCGACTGTCGAACCCTGAGTCCATGGTACCCCCCATACGGCAGCTCTCCAGAAGCGAGCCCAATTTTGCTCCAGCCACAAAAAGCCCATTAGGACTTTGTTAGGGTTTAGGGTTTAGGGTTTAGGGTTTAGGGTTTAGGGTTTAGGGTTTAGGGCCGTGTTAGTGAAGCCCCCAACCTTGACAGGCCTCTCTCCCCCCAAGCAACTCGGACCCCTTCCCTCCCCCCGCCCCCCCTCCCCCCAAACTCTGCCCAAACTTCCTGGGAGCCTCTCTACCTACAGTTTGATGGGCCATACCTAGTAGTTAAGGGGCAATTACTACCAAACTGTAGGTAAATAGAGTCCCAGGTTGGTTCTGGTGGTCCAAACCTGCTACCCGAATATTCCGTTTTCGGCTTCTTTTTCTGAGTGGTGGGGGGGGGGGGCACATTGGTTTGTGGCATTTTCGCGGTACCCCTCTTTGTGGTACTTTACTGTAACTTTAGATCCTTACCTTTTTTTGGGTTTATTGGGTTTCTTATTCCATCCTGAGTGCAGCCAAGCCCTCTATTGGAACCCTTATCAGCTCTAAGCCTTCGATTCTGGACGTCTGGGCGCCGACCTAAACCTAAAACCCTAAAACCCTAAAACCCTAAAGCCCTAAAGCCCTAAAACCCTAAAACCCTAAAGCCCTAAAGCCCTAAAACCCTAAATCCCTAAAACCCTAAAACCCTAAAACCCTAAAACCCTAAAACCCTAAAACCCTAAAACCCTAAAACCCGAAAACCCGAAAACCCTAAACCCTGAAACCCTAAAACCCTAAACCCTAAACCCCAAACCCCCAAACAAACCCCCAAACCCCCAAACCCCCAACCCCCAAACCCCCAAACCCTAAGCCCAGGCTGGGAATGCCGTGGATGCAGATGGCTCGAGGTGCACTCGAGAGCTCGATACGTGCGGGCGCCCGGAATCAGGCATCGCGTTTAGGGTTTAGGGGTTTAGGGGTTTAGGGCTTAGGGCTTAGGGTTTAGGGCCTGGGGGCTTTGGCCGAACCCCCCAAAAACCCTTCCAACCCCAAAGGGGTAGATGAAATTGTAACACTAACCCCTAAACCCCTAAACCCTACACCCTAAGCGATTTGGGCAAAGCTTATGCAGGAGTTTGACCGCACTAGGCCCCTTACTAGTTGGCTTATTGCACCCCGGAGATCCTAAATCGCAACGGTGGGTTCAGGGTTATAAGGCTGTGGGTGTAACCTGCGACTTGGTTGCCCCAAAAACGTAAGCTTACCCAACAACGTAGGCTTACCCAAGAAACCCTATACAAGGCTGACAAGTAGCACCTCACGAGGCCTTGAGCTAGGGGATCTTTGGACGTTGAACGGAGTTTGCATCAGGGAGGTAGACCACTTTCATGACAGACATCGCGAGCAACCCACGGCATCCAGAGAGACCCTTGCTAGCGGCTCTTAGGTGCGAGGGTTGGCTGAGGGTAGCGTTGCTGCAAGCCTCAACCCTAGCTGTTGCCTCACCTCCTTGAGATATGGAAGCCCGTCAACCCTCTAAACCCTCTAAACCCTCTAAACCCTCTAAACCCTCTAAACCCTAAACCCCAAACCCTAAACCCTAAACCCTAAACCCTAAATCCCAAACCCTCCGGGGATGCGAGGCCCCAGCAAGAACATCCAGGTGGATGTCATCGGGAAGGACGACAGGGACATACCCAAACCTTATATAATCCCTAAGCATCATGGGATTGCATTGTTGTTCCTGGGGGGGGGGGGGGGGGGGGGGGGGGGGGGGTAAGGGAAGCCCTAGTGCACCAGTGCAGCTCGAAATTGCTGAGAATGTGCCCCGGCGGAGATCACCCGCACTCTCATTCGGCATAGACCAGGCACGAACGATTTGAGGTTGTGCAGGGGTCCCCTGGAGACGTAGGCCCTATAGCCGAAGCCCGAAACCCTCAACTCCCAAAGCCCGAGCCTCAAAACCCCGAGCCCTAAACCCCAATCCTCAAACCCTAAACCCAGAACCCCAAACCCTAAACTCTAAACCCTAAACCCTAAACCCTAAACCCCAAACCCTAAACCCTAAACCCTAAACCTTCAAGCCTAAACCCCAATCCTTCACCAAAGACACATGAACCTTGTGGACTCCAGGATGTCGACGCCCTGCCAGCGCTGTCGAACGCCGTGCACGGGACACCTGTTGGCCCCAGGCAGTGGACCCCCCTGAGTAGGGTTTAGGGTTTCGGGTTTAGGGTTTAGGGTTTAGGGTTTAGGGTTAGGGTTTAGGGTTATGACCCTAAACCCTGTAAACCTACGAGCCCTCACAAAAACGTATTTTGGGTAAACCGTATAAACCCTAACAGCCATCCTTGCAACAAGGTTTTTTTGGTAAACCGTATAAACCCTAAACACCCTTACTGGCCGAAGGAGGGTTCGGAGCGCAAAGAACAGCGGGTGGAGACGGGTTCAGGGGTTTAGGGTGCACGGCTTGGGGGTGAGGGTTGTTATGGGGCTGGGGGTTCAGGGTTTCAGGTCTAATTAGCGTTTAAGGTCAGAGGCTTGACGCGTTTCTCGTGATTCGTGCTTCAAGTTGATGACCTTGTCCAGCACGAAACCATAAAGCAAATCCTAAACCCTAAACTCTTCAGGGCTTGGGGTCAAGGCTGCAGCACCAGAAGGAACACCCCTCAACCCCTTGGGGGGGGGGAGCGTCAAAAACCTAAACTGCCCCAAACTCTAGGGTTTAGGGTTTAGGGCTTAGGGTTTAGGGTTTAGGGCTTAGGGTTTAGGGTTTAGGGCTTAGGGCTTAGGGCTTAGGGTTTAAGGCTTAGGGATCCTGAACCCACCCCCCCGCCTCCCAAAGTAACGAGCAGCCCAGCAGCCACGCCAGTTCGCCAGGCTGTGCTTCGAGGACGACCCGCTCCCGCGATCTCACTACGAGCAGGCGAACTCGCGACTTGGCCTTGCAAAAATCTCAAGGCCCCCAAAAATCCCTGAAATCCCCAAACCCTAAACCCTAAACCCTAAACCCTAAATCCCTGAAGTGCTGAAAGTCCCTAGACCCTCCCTCAAAATCCAAAAGCGCCCCCCAAAAACCAAAAAAAGGCCTTCGCCTGATCCAAGCCCCTCAGAGCCGGGGAGGTCTTTGGATCCGTCGTGTTAGGGGGAGAAAGCGACCTGAGAGCTTGTGTGACTCGAAAAAGCCGCAACGCAAGATGTTAGGGTTTAGGGTTTAGGGTTAAGAAAGCCGCAACAGAAGATGTTAGGGAGGGTTTAGGGTTTAGGGTTTAGGGTTAAGGGTTAAGGGTTTAGGATTTAGGGTTTAAGCCCCCCCCCCCCCCAAAAAAAAAAAAAAAAAGAATGAACAAATGCCGATCCTGAGGTCACGGATGGCCGAGTCGTTGCCTCAGTCCTGTTTTCGGGGGATGTAGGCTTCTTGGGGTTAAGATGTTCGTGAGTTTTTTTTGTTTTTTTCTTTGGGGGGGGGGCTTTAGGGTTTTAGGTTTAGGGATTAGGGGGGGAGTATTCTTCTGTCAGGTTTTCATGTGGCTTCTGTGTTGTTTCTTGTGTGACTCCTCTTGATCGGAAGCTCAAGCGTTGGGCTCTTGGTGGGTCCCCAAACAAGCTTACTGCTGGGAACGTGTGTTTTTTGTTTTTGTTGTGGATGCTGTTTGGCTGTGGGTGCTCGGGGGCCGCCCGCTGAGTGAGTGACCTGACGCGCGTCGCCCCCGCACCCGCAGCAAAAAAAAAAAAAAAAAAACGCCCCCCCCCACCCCCGCCCTAGTTCTCTATATTTCAGTAGGAACCGCGGCAAAAAAAAAGGCACCCGCAGCAAAAGCAAAGCGCCCCCCCCCCCCCCCCCCTGCCCCCCGCGCACCCGCAGCAAAAAATGAACGCGCCCCCTCACCCACAGCAAAAAAAATAGCGCCCCGCACCCGCAACAAAAAAACAGTCTTACCGCTGAAGACCTTCAACCCTGCCCCAAACCTCATCCCCTAAAACTGCACCCTGAACCCCGAACCCAAACCTGAAATCCCTAAACCCCTAAGCCCCTAACCCCCAAGCCCCTAAACCCTAAACCCAAAACCCTACACCCTACACCCTTCACCCTAACTCTCAACCCTCAACCCTAAACTAAACCCTAAACCCTGATACTGTTATGTTGTTATGCTATGAGTTCTATTGTGATAACCTGAACCTCAACCCTCAACCCAAACCTGGCCCGACGCGCCTGAGAAGCCACGCCGAGAGGTTCCAGCTCGCGGTGCGGGATGCCGTCATCCTCGTGGCCCACTCCGCTTGGGCCCAAGTTTAGGGTTTAGGGTTTAGGGTTTAGGGTTTAGGGTTTAGGGTTTGGACCCAAGCAAGCCTTTAGGGGTGTCTATAGCCCCCCTTCGGTTTTTTTTTGTAAAAAGCCCAAAAGCGAATATCCAAAA